AGTCCATTAAGAAAAGTTTTAATGATATTTGATTTTTTATTCTAGCACTAAGAGGAAAGGTAAGCAAAGCATAATAGTCAAAAGGCATTAAACCCCATGTAAAAATAACTTCACATTAAAGGAAATGGTCAGTGCACTCAAAATACAAGCAGGAAAATGGGAAAAAAGGTCTCCAAAACATATTATCTGATAAGTATTTAATAGCTATAATTTATACAGACCTTTTACAAGTCAACATGAAAAAAGAAGTAACACAACTTTTAAAATGTCCAAAGCTATATGGTTAACTAATGTGTAAGATAGAAGGCAAGAACACACAATAAGGAACGACAGATTCTTCAAGAAGTACTGTAACAAAACAGGTACATGCAAAAATTATAAAATTAGACTCCATTAATAGGCCACTAACCAAAATGAAATCAGAATGGATTAACATCTAAAATTTGAAACCTGAAGCCAATGAAAACATTGGAAGAAATCATAGTCAATGAACTTTACCATCACTCTGAAAAATACTGGTTTGTATGTATCTTTTCAAGCATAGCAAAAAGCTAAAAAAATAAAGAAATGAGACTACAAAAGAGTAAGTTTGGCATACCAAAGAAACCACCGAGAAACAGCAACAACAAAAGTCATGTTACATACTCAAAAGCTAAAGATCCAAAATATCTAAGGAACTCACACAACTTAACAGCAAAAAGACAATATGATGGAAAAATGGGCAGAGGACCTAAATAGACATTTCCCAAACAGGATATAAAGATGCCCAATGGACATAATAAATGATGTTAAACTGTTCAACTCATTCATCATCAGAGAAATGTAAATGGACACCACCTGAAATACCACCGAACACCTAACAGGATGCCAGTCATCCATAAATCAATAAAAAATGACAAGTATTACCAATTAAGTGGGGAAATGAGAACAGTGATGTACTGTCGGCAACATTATAAACACACTGGTGCAGCCACTAACAAAACACAATGATTTTCCAATACTTATTAAGATACTAGGAAACCAGTGATTCCATATCCGGCCATTTATACAGAGAACACATATGGTCAGGGCACATATAAAAAAATCAATTAATGCCCAGCTGAAGTTTCTATCTCTCCTAACTCGCCCTTCCCCCCTGAATTCAACAAAATCTTTAAAAATCAAAAAATAGCCAAAACCGGTTTGGCTCAGTGGATAGAGCGTCGGCCTGCGGACTAAAAGGTCCCACGTTCGATTCCGGTCAGGGGCATGTGCCTGGGTTGCGGGCACGTCCCCAGTGGGGGATGTGCAGGAGGCGGCTGATCAATGTTTCTGACTCTCTATCTCTCTCCCTTCCTCTCTGTAAAAAATCAATAAAATATATTTTTTAAAAAAAATCAAAAAATAAAAGAAAATGGAGTGTGTTAATTTTTATAGAGGCTTTCCCATTTCCAATCAGACTGTCATCTGGCCAGAAGACGTGGTAGAATATTACAATATTCTAGAAAATGATTTTCTAAAATATTCTTTTCTGATAGTACCTTAATAAGTGTAGACAACACGTAATGTGTGCAAACACTGTGTTCTTAATTCACATACATCAAAAAGCCTTTCTTTTATATCCCAAGGACCCCCAATTTGTTCCTTTTTAAAAAAATGTATTTTTTTCGTGGTTTCAGAGGGCAATGGAGAGGGAGAGAAAGAGAAACATCAATGATGAGAATCACTGATAGGATATCTCCTGCACGCCCCCCACTAGGGAGCAAGCCAGCAACCCTGAAATCAGCCCTGACCAGAATCAAACCTAGGACATTTCAGTCTGCAGACCAGTGCTCTATCCACTGAGCCAAAGGAGCTAGGGCTCAATTTGTCCCTTGAGAACAAGAATTTAAAAGAGAAAGCAAAATCCCCTAGAGATGTTAAAATAATAAAGGAAAACCTTGCGGGTGGAGTAGGAACTAGGGAAGGAAGTTATCCTCACCCAGGGAGGCCAGGTTGCTGCAGTTCTCCACCATCACCTCCAGGTACAATTTCCGCTGAGCTGGGTCCAGGCATTCCCACTCCTCCTGAGAGAAATGTATGGCCACATCCCTGAAGTTCAACAATCCCTGAAAGAAAATAAATATTTACCAAGAGGTCACCAGAAGAGTTCATAATGTCACGCAACATGAAAACAAGTCTTAGGAAAAGAGGTTGGGACTTACAGGAGTATCCTGAATCACCCAATAAGATCACTTTGCCCCAGTAACTTTCCTTGATATGACTTCGAACACTGACAAATAAGGATGACATATGTCCACAAATCCCAGATATAGATTTACGTTTGCAGTAAAAAAACTTTAAAATTAAGGTAAAGCCCTGGCTAGTTTGGCTCAGTGGATACAGTGTCAGACTAGGCACTTAAGAGTCCCGGGATTGCCCTAGGGCCGGTTTGGCTCAGTGGATGGAGCGCCAGCCTGTGGACCAAAGGGTCCTGGGTTAGATCTTGGTCAGGGCACGTGCTTTAGTCAGAGGCAACCAATCGATGTGTTTCTCTCACATCGATGATTCTATCTGTGTTTCCCACTCTCTTCCACTCTCCCTAAAAATCAATGGAAAAATATCAGATGAGGATAAATAAAACAAAACAAAATAAAAAATAGTAAAAAAAAGTCGAGGGATTAATTCTGGTTGCACGCTTGATCCCAGTAGGGGGTGAGCAGGAGGCAGCCAATCAATAATTCTCTCATCATTGATGTTTCTCTCTCTCTCTCCTTTATTCTCAAAAATTAATAAAACTATATTTTAAAATAAATAACAAAATAAACGTATGGACACAGGCATATAAATTTCTGAATGCTGTGTTTGCATTGCTCAGGGTCAGTGGTGTATGTCATTTTCAGCTGGAAATGTCATGCTCGCTTGGAAGTATAAGGACTTCTTCTCAAGTGTGAAGTAGACCACAAAGAAATGAACTTCTTAGAGACACAGATTCTGATCCAGGTTCTGATATGGGGCCTGTGTTTTCCACATGTGTCACAAGATCACTTTTTACCTGTGATGCCAATGTTTCTGCATCATGTGCCATACATTGGAATACCCAGAAAAAGAAAACACAAGAGAAAATTCATATGGAACTTTGAACTAAAAAGGTTTGTTAATGGAATTCAGTTCTCATGAAATAGGACACATAGGAACTACAATCCTATTTAGAAATACACTATGAATAATCTTAGAATAAGATTATTCTGGTTGGTCCAGCTGGTGTTGCTCAGTGGTTCAACACTGAACCATGCACCAAGAGGTCAATGATTAGATTCCTGGTCATGGCACATGACCAGGTTATGGGCTCAATCCTCAGTGTGGGGTGTGCAGGAGGCAGCCGATCAATATTGCTCTCTCATCATTGATATTTCTCTCTCTACCTCTACCTTCATTTCTGAAATAGATAAATATGTACTTGAGAAAAAAAAAGAAAAAATAGCTGAAATAACGTTAACAGTTAAAGCACAGAGACAGACATTTTACAACTATGAAATCAAGATGGTTTAGTGATTCTGTAAATCTCATGAATCTATTTGTGTATGATCCTCTTTGTGTTTTAGAAATAAACTAGTAGCCCGGTGCATGAAATTTGTGCACATTAAAAGGAAATTAGAGGTAATATTTTAATATTGCTATTTGCCCTTTCTCTATAACAGAAGTGTCCGGCTGGACCCACATCCATTGGGCAACACCTAGACCCAGCAGGCCCCACCCAAGTCAAGCTCTGCCAGGTGGGGGATCCAGCCTCCCATCCCGGTGCTGGGGCAGGGGGCGCAGCCTCAGGGGGACCCCCAACCTTGCCGCGACATCAGGATCCGCCTCCACGGCTCCACACGCATGCAACCTCCTGGTGATGGATTGCAACAGCGTGAAGGCATCAAAGGCTGATGGCATGAGGGCGTGAAGACCATTTGAATATTAGCTCTTTATTATATAGGATAAGGAGAGAAACATAAGGATACAAAACAAGTTAAACCTAGTTTCCTTTTTGTGGTTGTAAACCCTCACGTGGGGAGATTTTTTTCCATTGAGTTTTTGAGAGTGGAAGGCAGGGAGGTAGAGGTATGGAAAGGACAGAGAGAGACAGAGACAGAGAGAGAGAGATAGAGAGAAACATCAATGTGAAAGAGACACAGAGATACATGGATTCGCTGCCTACCACAGATACCCAGGAACTACTTGCCCAGTACCAGGACCAAGAATTGAAACCTAATCCACACCAGCCTGGGGGAACTAATTTTTCTTATCAGATAAATTCCTTCAAAATTTTTATATATCATTAGTGGAAAGCTATTTCGTAGAAATTTAATGAAATTGAACATACATTAATATCATTCTTGGAAACTTCCTAGAAAATACAAAAAGTGATCATATAGGGTATGTCCATGATGGGAGTATAGAATATAATGAAAATTTAAGAATAAAACCTGATTAAAGCTCCCATGCAAAAGCCAATGATCTGTAGGAAATAAAAGTAAGTCCTTCATTTTTCAAAGGAAACGCAAACTAAGAAGAGGGACATTTCCAGATGTGAAGTGATGGTCTTTGCACAAATTTCATTAAATCACTACTATTCCCTTGTTCCTGAGAAGGTCAGGTCACCACTGCTGTGACATTACTCCCAAATATACCTCAATAAAGAAGGAATTATGTGGAAATGATCACAAATAAACATTAATTTTTGCAACTATCAATCCACAGGTACCTCCCATGTTCTGTAGGCTAATAGAATATTTACCTGCGAAGTACTTCGTGCTAATCTAGTGAGCAAGACACTTCTATTTACTATTTACTCTTCTTTCTGAACTTTCTGAGCTATCCTGAGCAGTAAAATGTGCATTTTCTTACCCCTGACCAAGAGCTGATGCGGCAGCCACTTGAATCTAAAACCTACACTTCCCGCCCTGACTGGTTTGGCTCAGTGGATAGAGCGTCGGCCTGTGGACTGAAGGGTCCCAGGTTCGATTTCCATCAAGGGCATGTACCTTGGTTGCGGGCGCATCCCCAGTGGGGGGTGTGCAGGAGGCAGCTGATCCACGTTTCTAACTCTCTCTCCCTCTCCCTTCCTCTCTGTAAAAAATCAATAAAATATATTTAAAAAAACAAAATAAATAAATAAAACCTACATTTCCCTTCCTCAAGACACAAGAGCCTCTGACCCCATCCCAATAGGGATGTTAGACATGCCTGCCTTTCCAGGTGGATCTGTCACAAAAGGGATGTTCTGAATAGTTGAAAGTCGTTAACTAAAGGAGGGAATGCTTCCTGACCTTGGGGAGGCTGCATAAAATAAAGGCAGAGAAGGCTCTGGGAAAAAGGAGAAATACAGCCTGGCCAGTGAGGTTCAGAGTGTTAACCCCTGAACCAGGAGGGCAGGTTTCCATTCCTGGTCAGGGCACACTCAAGGTTTCAGACTGGATACCCAGTGGGGGGAATGCAGTAGGCAGTTGATCAATGATTGTTTCTGCTCATTGATGTTTCTCTCTCCCTCTCTCCCTATTCCTTACATTCTGAAATCAATAAAAACATACATTAAAAAAAAGAGAGGGAAATATAGAAACTGCTGACACTGACTACGATAAGAAAAAAGGAAAAAGGCATTGAACGGTTTGGCTCAGTGGACAGAGTGTCAGCCTGCGGACTGAAGGATCCCGGGTTTGATTCTGGTCAGGGACATATACCTTGGTGGTGGGCACATCCCCAATAGGAGGTGTGCAGGAGGCAGCTGATTGATGTTTCTCTCTCATCGATGTTTCAAACACTATCCCTCTCCCTTCCTTTCTGTAAAAGATCAATAAAAATATATTTGGGGAAAAAAATAAAAAAGGAAACAAATAAGGAAAGGAAATAAACCTGGAAAGGCAAGAACATCAAAAGTAGAGAAATATGGAAGAGAGGAAGGAGCCCCAGAGAGATGAAGGGGAGTGAGAGGGAGAGGGGTCCTGGTGAACAAAAGTGGAGGCAAAAAAGGGGAGGCACTTCAGGTAGAGAGACTGGTTCAGGGAGAAGAATTGGGGGAGGGAGTGCAGGGACAGTATGGGGGGTTTAGGGATGACGGAGCAGAGGGAGTAGCAGCACTGAGTCAGCCCGCTGTGGGTAACAGGACAGACTGTAACAAAGGCAGCAGAGGGGACACAGGTGT